GTTCAAGAGTAGCTATTGCAGTAAGAATGACTTTGTAGGTGTACATAGTGTTTCTCCTGATCAATAAAACAACAAAAGCTGATGGTTTGCCTTAGTCTCAAACCCACACTCTCACCTTTCCTTTAAAGAAAATCAAAGAGAAAGTTCTTTTGATTTAATACTGCTTCACCAAGGAAATATACTTGGTCAGAAGTTTTCAATTTTGTGTTGCATTGTATTCTTGTTTGCTGATGTGTTTTTTTTTCTTTGAAGACTAGTGAACTTACTTTCACTCTGCTTTTTATTGAGTTTCCTTGTCTAAAACTCTGCCATTTTTTATTTTAGTATGACTTTTCCTTTGACATTGGAGTTCGTTATTGCAAAAGAAGAGGATCTCAGATGTCAGATGTGAAATAGAGACTAGTGTCTGGTCCAGAATTGCTTTGGCTCTTCTTAAAAATGAACAGAGAAACTATAGTAAAAAAAAAGTTGTACACAAAATGTGTGTGTGTATACACTGATCAGGCATAACATTATGACCACTTCCTTGTTTCTACGCTCATTGTCCATTTTATCAGCTCCACTTACTATATAGGTTCACTTTGTAGTTCTACAATTACAGACTGTAGTCCATCTGTTTCTCTGCATACTTTGTGAGCCCCCTTTTACCCTGTTCTTGAGTGGTCAGGACCCCCATGGACCCTCATAGAGCAGGTACTATTTGGGTGGTGGATCATTCTCAGCACTGCAGTAACACTGACGTGGTAGTGGTGTGTTAGTGTGTGTTGCGCTGGTCTGAGTGGATCAGACACAGCAGTGCTGCTGGAGTTTTAAACACTGTGTCCACTCACTGTCCACTCTATTAAACACTCCTACCTTATCAGTCCACCTTGTAGATGTAAAGTCAGAGACAGTAGCTCATCTCTTGCTGCACAGTTTGTGTTGGTCATCCTCTAGTCCTTCATCAGTGGTCACAGGACACTGCCCACAGGATGCTTTTGGCTGGATATTTCTGGTTGGTGGACTATTCTCAGTCCAGCAGTGACACTGAGGTGTTTGAAAACTCCAGCAACACTTTTGTGTCTGATCCACTCAGACCAGCGCAACACAAACTAATACACCACCACCACATCAGTGTTACTGCAGTGCTGAGAATGATCCACCACATATGTATACACACACACACACACATATATATATATATATATATATATATATATCTTCCTTCTTTCTGAGCACTTTTCTTAGTCTTATTTCTGAGGCCTACAGATCTGTGCTTTTAGAATATTTGTGACATTGAGACCAAATGTCTCTAACTGCATTTAAAACCATAGACTGAGATGAACGTGGTGTCATTTGGGGGTTGTTTTCAGTCAGTATTTGTTTGTTTTATTCTATGCTGTGCTCAAGACAAGGTTTTTTTGAGTATGTCCTGATACTAATATCCTGACAGTACAGCTCAATATGGCATTGATCTTAACGGCCCCAAAACGTCAACACCTTGTTCTATAGTGCATGATATCCTTTTCTTTATATAAATTCCACTTCTCTTGTGAAAAGGTACCTTCTGGTGTATAAGTTCAGTTTTGCAGATCCATTATATATATTTTAGTGTGTTTGTTGCCTTCAAAAGACTCAACGTGGCACCAAACTGTTCAGTTGAAGAGTTGTGACCTCAATATTCAACAAAACACTACAGCTCCCCTACTGTGGACTGGTTTATTTTTTGTCTGTTTCGATCAACATCTTTATCTCTGACAAGATGCAGGTCAAGATAACCTATTTTATCAGTGTTGGATATCTTCCTTAATAGTGCCTGGTGCTTTAAGCTTGTGCTTGACTCTGTGTATGTTGTAGTGTCCATTGTCTGCTAAATCTGTTCATCTGTTTATTTATAACATATTTACTGTAATGTATTTTGTTTCAGGTTGCTTGTATTTTCAATAGTTGTATTAGTTGTTGTAGTAGTAATAAAAATGATAGATAATGTAAAAAGAAATGCTTGATCTACACATACTGGAAAAATGATCTGAGCCCAGTTTCACAAAAGCATCTTAGTGTTGAGATTATCTTAACTGGAAGAGAGAGAATTTAAGAATATTTTTTGTGCTAAGAGGCTTTTGGGAAACCCAGCTCTGGTCTTTTAACCTCAATAAGTGACTTACTTCACTACTTTACAATTTACATTATACTGAACCTGAAATAATTAAGAGAATTAGTACATTCGTTATTGTGCTAACCAGGACTGAAAGATTAATCCTCTTTATAATGAAATTGCAATTTGAGATTTTAATAACTGCCATTTTAATTATTGCCTATATTAACACCAGCATTATCTTATACACCGATGAGTCACAACATTATGACCACTCACAGATGAAGCAAATAATGTTGAATGTCTCGAAACAACAGCACGTCAAGATCTGGGATATATTAGATGGTAAACAAACAGTCGGTTCTTGTAATCAACATGTTGGATGTGGGAGAAATGAGCAGACGTGAAGATCTGAGTGACTTTGACAAGGGACAAATCCTTATGGTCAGACAACTGGGTCGCAGCACCTCCGAAACAGCAAGGCTTGTGGGGGCTCCCAGTCTGCAGTGGTGAGCATGTACTGATAATGGTCCAAGGAAGGACGGGCGGGACCCTGCAACATTGCACACATTGTTCAGGATGGTTTCAGGAACATGACACACAGTTCAGTGTGTTTCTATGGACTCCAGAGAATTCCCTGTATCTCCAGATCCCAATCCGATAGAGCATCTGTGAGATGTGCTGGAACAACAAGTCTGATCTACGGCGGCTCCACCTCACAACTTACAGGACCTACTGCTAAAAGCTTAGTCCCACATACCACAGGACACATTCAGAGGTCTTGTTGCATCCGTACCTCGACAGGTCGTAGCTGATTTGGGAGCACGGGGAAGACCAACAGCATATTAGGCAGATGGTCATGATCTTTTGGCTCATCTGTGTATCTTAATTGGGGAAATTTAACCTAAAATGAATCTTGTGATCTGCCTGTAGATGAGTTAGATCAATGTGTTTGGTTGCTTGACAACATGATAGCACAACCAAAACTAACTGGCAGTCTGGCACAGCACATCAAGTGCTCAAGCTTCAAGCCAGAAAAAGTGGATATTCTGGTATTCTTGACCAAACTAAGAGGCCTGGACCTTAATTTATAAAAAAAGAAATAATTGCAGTTTAAATCGCAGTTACAATATTGCAAAAAAAATCACATTTACATATTTCCTCCAAAATGTTCAGCTCTTCAGATAACTTACTATTAGATGTACAATTTTAAGGAAAACTGTCTTTTTTTCAGTGTAATCTGAATTACAGGTATTTTGGCCATATAACCTCTGCCTCGATAATAAGTAATGCATAATAAGAAGAAATTGTGTGGCCATATTTTCTTCTTAATCTTTCTCCTTTAAGTGCTTGTTACAGGATATGTCTATTAGAACAAATGCATGTATTTTTCCTTATGTTCAAGCATAACATATGGCTCATTATCATGTTCTAAATAGCCTTTTTTGCCATCTTTATATTATGGATTTTTGCTCTTTATTTTATTTGTTCATGATAGGCTTTTAAAGCCTGTCTTCATAGAGGCTGAAAGAATAACAGCTGTTCCCTGTGCTGTCCTGAAGGACATGCTTCTACTTCTGTTTCTGGGTTAACCAATCAGGCTGACCCTCAGACCCTCACTCTATCACTCTGTCTAGCTTAAAAAAGTATTGGCTCTGTTCTTCACAGCTGTAATTAAGGACAGGAAGAAGATCTTCTTTTTGTTGGATAAAGAACAAATGTAACCATTAAACTTATATAAAATATCAGTGGTATAGTCTGGTATGGATCATACAAGTACCAAATATCATTGCACTGATATATTGTACATTGAAGGTTTTACAATAGGTATATACTAGTGTCTAAACTAGGGCTCATCAATTTCGAAGCCCTGCTCAGTTTGGTGATTTCCCTGTTCAAACTCAGCAGCTTTAGTAGATGTTTTTGAGAAAGAAAATGATCAAACTGTGGTGATCTTCTATGAATATAAGTGGTGGAGATGAAGCTGGAGGACATGGTTGAGATGAGGCTGAAAGAAGTGGTAAAGATGAGGCTGAAGAATATGGTTGAAATGAGGTTGAATGCAGTTGAGATGAGGTTAATGGAGAGCTGAGGGTGAGGAAGATGGTTGAGATATGGGTGAAAGGCATGGTTGAGGCCTAAGGGTATGGAGGGTGTAGATGAGACTCACAGGCATGTGAACCAATGTCTAATCAGTTTATGTCTTTGAGTTCATTTCTAAGTAAACATCATTGCTGCATGATTAATTTTGCTCATGTGTATGTAAGGAACCATATTTAAACGTGGAGGAATTTGTGTTTGTCAAGAAGTATATAAATGTGTGAATTTTGTCACTAAAAGAGCAATGCCAGTAAATGTGAAGACCACAAAATCAGAGTCTCTACATTTTTAACGCAAACTTATGTTTCTTTTATTTTTGTCCATCTAATTTTGCCAGGTAACAACAAAAAGAACTGTTTTTATTAAACTAAATAAAGTTAAACTACTGTAGTACAGTAAAGTACAGTATAAATTCCATACATGTGTCAGAATGTTCATATCAAATTGTTGAATAAACCACTCAACCAAAGTTACTTGAAATAACCATCACTGTACTTGAATCTCAGTCCCAGACTCCCCTTTCCCCTTGTGTTAGTCTCATAGTACTGAAAGTAGTTGCTAAACAGTACATTTATAGGGTTTAAGGGCTTGACATACATTTAATGTATCAGATTAAAGTCTTTAAACCTGGCGATTGCATGTCTTGCATTGCATGTGAGGTGGTGTTTTGTATTTGTGTCTATTGCACTTGAGCCTGTTTTGACTGTTACAATAGTTGAAAGGCGCACCAGACCAAATATATTGGCCGTGATTTACAGGTGAGCCACAGGCCCTTCTGAAAAAACAAGGTTATCCACTGTTATTGTTATGTCCTGTTGTGTTGCAGGAGTGCACAAGCTGGTGGATAGGGTATTGAGGACGGAGGAAGCAGAGGGCATGTGGACTCAGGAGCTAAAGATTCTCTCTCACCTGGCCTGCACTGTGTAAACTAAACTCCAGCCTCTACTGCAGACCAGCAGCCCCTGTCTGTGAGTATTCCTGCTCATCTTTTTCGAATGCAAATTGCATATTAGAAGCACGTGCAGAGTTTACTCGAACAGTTATGAATTCTGGTTGGCTCAGGTTGTTTGTTCATGTGCATTTACAAAGCATAAGAGTACACATTACCCACTGCCATTACACACTAAGACAAAATGTTATACAATTACAAAATAGCACATGTATATACTAGTAAACTGCACCAGACATCCTGTATTTACTAAGGCAGTGTCATATTTCAGCTTTGTTTTTTGGTGTCCCAACTTATTCTCAGCAGTTGTTCATGCCATAATTGCAACTTTTCTTTATTACTGGGTCACTGGGCAGAATATGCATTCATGCGCAATATACTATTAGTCTAAACACCAATCAGACCAAGGTTTTGAGTCAGAGTTTTTTTAGACCACATCATCTGTATTTACGTCACATTAACGTCACATGCGAGGTCCGGCTGGATGTTTAGGTCTCAAACACAACATTATACTGATGATGATGTGTTGACAATTGTAGATCATTCCCTTACATCCTCAGAGGACACTTGGAAGACAAGTTCTCCTTGAATACTCTTTCAACATGCTCCCAATCAGCTTTTGATTAGGAAGGGGTGGGAAGCACATTGTGTGCCATTACACATATCCACCAGTGAAATTTACACAGTGCATCTTTAAACTTATGTTTACAGTGGGTAAGACGGCACCTAAGCTCGCTAATTTAGCATTTTTAAGAAGAAATCATAGACCAAGTTCAAAATGACACATATTCATTTAAATAAGATAGAATGAGTTTATAGGTATGTATCCTACCTCACCAGTGTAAAGAATGGTGTCAGATGTGGGCATGTATCAGTTTAAAAATGTAAAATTATGATGATAATTTAACCTTTTTTCACAGCTATGATATCATGACAATGTCATTTTTTATCATATAAAAATATAATAAGATAATATATGTGCAATACTGTACAAAAGTCAAGGCAAAATTAAAACCTAAGCAAATTTTAAAGTATTTATCCATACACTAGAAATAAATGTGCTGTGCAGATACATTTCTTGTTTATCAAGGTACATACAATATAAATGTACCCTCAGAGGTACAGCAGTGGTTTTAAGGTCCAGTTGTGCACCTTAAATATGTTTTTTCCAGGTGAAAAGTACATATTTGTACCTTTTCATAACCTAATGTTTTAAAACAGCACAGTAAAATGAAAAGCCTGGAGACGAGACGGTGTGTGTGGAGTCAATACAACTTAAATAAATATATGATTTAAATGGATTATAGAACAATTATGTTCCCTGACTAAAGGTACTGAGATGTACCCTTGAGGGTACCACCCCAGTGACAAGAGGGGTACTGCCCCAGTGACCGTTTTTTTTCTGAGAGTGTAAGAATACAGGTTTGGTTCCAGATTTCTCCTTGATTCATTTACCCATGGCATGTATTTGTTAAATTTCATTTCAGCAGCACTCCTGATTTCGTTTGATGAAGCATTGGTCAACCAAACCAGGTATTGAATGGTAACTGCAAATAATATTGGGGTGCTATGAGGAGAGGTGAGGAGAGATGTTAAGAGAACATGCTGACATACATTCATATAGACATACAGTTACCATTACTGTATGACTGTTAGTGGTAGTGGTCCACTTACTATATAGGTGCACTTTGTGGTTCTTCAATTACAGACTGTAGTCCATTTCTCTGCACACTTTGTTAGCCCCCTTCTACCCTGTTCTTCAGTGGTCAGGACCCCCATGGACCCTCACAGAGCAGGTACTATTTGGGTGGTGGATCATTCTCAGCACTGCAGTAACACTGACGTGGTGGTGTGTTAGTGTGTGTTGCGCTGGTCTGAGTGGATCAGACACAGCAGTGCTGCTGGAGTTTTTAAACACCTCAGTGTCAATGCTGGACTGAGAATAGTCCACCAACTCAAAAAATCCAGCCAAAAGCGTCCTGTGGGCAGCGTCCTGTGGGCAGCGTCCTGTGGGCAGCGTCCTGTGGGCAGCGTCCTGTGACCACTGATGAAGGACTAGAGGATGACCAACACAAACTGTGCAGCAGCAGATGAGCTATCATCTCTGACTTTACATCTACAAGGTGGACTGACAAGGTAGGAGTGTCTAATAGATTGGACAGTGAGTGGACACAGTGTTTAAAAACTCCAGCAGCACTGCTGTGTCTGATGGACCACGTCAGTGTTACTGCAGTGCTGAGAATGATCCACCACCCAAAAAGTACCTGCACTGTGAGAGTCCATGGGGGTCCAGACCACTGAAGAACAGGGTAAAAGGGGGCTAACAAAGTATGCAGAGAAACAGATGGACTACAGTCTGTAACTGTAGAACTACAGAGTGAACCTATATAGTAAGTGGAGCTGATAAAATGGACAATGAGCATAGAAACAAGGAGGTGCTCATAATGTTAAGTGCAGAATCACAATGTGACAGTGTGGAGAGGCCACGTGAAGCTGGAGTTACTTTGCATATCTAAAAATTCAGTGGTGAAACAGCAACTTGACAGTATCTCAGAGCATCCACAATAACATGATTGTTTGTTGAATATCATGGTAAACCTTATTATTTAATAATATCGCCCATGTCTAGTCAGACAAAAAAAAATCTATAATGTAATCTAACAAAAATGTCATCTACGCTCTCAGAAATAAAGGTGGTAAACTGTCACTGGGGCAGTACTCCTCTTGTCACTGGGGTGGTACCCTCAAGGGTACATCTCAGTACCTTTAGTCAGGGAACATAAGTGTACCATAATCCAATGAAATCATACTTTCAAAGTTGTACTGACTCCACACACCCCGTCTCATCTCCAGGCTTTCTATTTTATTGTTCTGTTATAAAACATTAGGTTATGAAAGGTACAAATATGTACTTTTCACCTGGGAAAAACTTATTTAAGTTATTTATTTAATTTACATTGTTTGTACCTTGATGAACAAAAATGTACCTGCACAGAACCTTTATTTCTAACAGTGTAGTCTTATAAATGGAGTTATGTTTGTTCTCTCTTAACACCTATTGGATCATAAAGGATCTGGTCACCCTAATTATACTGTAAAGTACATTGCTTATGCTCTGTCTGGTGTTCTGTAGTTCAGTGGAGATATATCATTCCTACAGTTTCTGTTCTAAATGATGTGATTAATATGCTGCGAGGTAGTCAGTAGTTAAGTGTGGTGAGTGATGTCAGGGTGTCTGACAGATGGCAGCCTCTGTAGGTGTGTGAAACAGCCTCTTTAATCGCCGCAGCACCTGTAAGGTTAACCAGCCAACCTCAATAACGTGTTAACACCCACGTGAGCAGCCTGAACACATCAGCACACCCACTACACCATCTCCCTAATACTGCACTACCTTATCATTATATACCACAATCACCTCTCTGTAATATCCTTGTAGTAATAGCTGTTTGCACGTAATAAAAGTGGCTAGAGACAAGGCCAGGGTGATGAGACAGAGCAAACCATCCAGAATAACCAAATATGAGGCATGTTATGTTTAATTTGGGATTCTGAACACTGTTGAACACAACATATCGACCAAAATCTCCGACCAGATTCCGCTGCATCCAGATGAGCCCCTGTCCTGTGTGGGGAGAAGGGGTGGGGTCAGTGTTGTTTTTCTTCTCCCGAGGCGTACTCATCACTCATCCTCACTGTTCCATGCTGCAGTAAAAGTGATGGACAGCATTCCGCATGACTTGGGACAAATGGCCGCAACGATGCAGCGTGTACGTCTCTGTGAGAGGGTGAAGAGCTCCGTGTTTATAGCCCGGAAAGGTGACCAGACCTGACGCTAATAATGGAATAATGCCTCAAGCTGTTAGTGTGCGGAAACATTAAGAGCCTGTTTTTGACTGAATTACAGTCAGCTGGGTGTAAATCACAGATGTAGATGTGTGTGTGGGAGGGGGGAGGGTGTATCAACATTAGAGCACTCCAACCTATAATTGCTGAGTATTTATCAGGTCGTTAGACACAGTCATTAGTGACAAAGCGAATGTATTCTCAATTAACCCCTTCATCTGCAGCCTCATTATTCAGTTATTAATCTTACACTTATTATTCATATGTTACTGCAAATTATTCAGTAGCTAATATTCTAAGTACATAAAGGTAAAGAGTGAATGTAGATAAATAAAGGCAATGAATGAATAAATGAATTAACAATGAATTATAAGGTACAATAATTGAATAAATGAATAAATGAATGAATGATTGGGAAAATGATATGAATGAGTGAATGAATGAATGAATGAATGAATGGAAAAAGACAAATGAATGAACGAATGAATGAGAAAATGCAGTGAATGAATGACTAGGAAAATACTATGAATGAATGAATGAATGAATGGGGAAAATAATGAATGAATGAAAGAATGGAAAAACACAATGAATGAATAAATGGAAAAAAGACAATGAATAAATGAACGGGAAAATGCAGTGAATGAATGAGTGAATAGCAAAATATGAATGAATGAATGAATGAATGAATGAATGAATGAACGAATGAACGAATGAACGAATGATTGAATGAGAAAACATTGAACGAAATAATTACTTAATGAAAAAAATACAATACATTAATGGAAACATGCAGTGAATAAATGAATTGATGAATGAGCGAATGAATGTGGAAACGGTGAGTGAATGAATGAATGATAAAATGTAGTCGATGGATGAATGAATAGGAAAATACTATGAATGAATGAATGAATAAATACAATGAGTTAAGGAATTAATGAGAAAATACAGTCAATGAATAAATAGAGAAGTACAATGACTGGGTGATTGAGTGAGTAAATGAGTGAGTGAGTGAGTGAGTGAGTGAGTGAGTGAGTGAGTGAATGAGTGAATGAGTGAGTGAGTGAGTGAATGGGCAAATACACCATGGACAAATTTAATGAATGAACAAACCCGAAATTACAATGAATGAATGATTAAGTAAATGGAAATATACAATGTATGAATAAACAAATA